CAGAAGAGGTGCATTCTGATCCAGGCCCTGCTGTGTTCTCTAAGATCTTGTCTGCAGATATGTACATCTTGAACATGTGGGATTTGTTTTGTGTTCTGGTCCAGGCCCTGCTGTGCTCTCTAAGGCTCTCTAGATCTTGTCTGCAGATACGTACATCTTGAACATGTGGGATTTGTTTTGGTTTGGTTTTTTTTTCTTTTCTTCTCCAAACACATTTCATAATCCAAGCCAGCTGCTGCAGCTCCGCTCCTTCAGCAAAACCGCTTCAAATCATGTTGAGGTTTTGTGGCTCTTTGTATCTGTGAACGTAGCTGCAGCCAATTTCTTCACACTGTAAGGTTATTTTAGCAGCAATGTGATTCTGAATGGCTCCCACAAACACCCTCATCTTTTGTCTCCACTTGCTTATTCCTCACTTTCCATCCCTTCAGCGGAGCAGAGGGAGCTGTACGTCCCCAATTCGGGTATACTGGTGCTAATGGCCAGACTGGGGGAGTGCTTGAGGACAGCGCGATCTACAACTTAACCCAGCCCCTTCCATTTCCTAGAATGAAGGTTTTGGGTTGGAGCATGTGGGTGGTGTTTTCGCAAGCCTGCGGCTTGTTTGCGTGTACGCGGTCTGAGTGTTCAGCACCTGAAAATCAGAGCCTGCAAACAGCCCTGCCGCATTAGGAAATCTCAGCTGGGCTGCTTGTTTACTCTGAGTGTAAATGTCGCCTTGGCAGGCAATGCATCTCCCCTCTCACAGACACAAAGTTTGTAGTTTGATTCCTGAGCTTAAATGGCATAGGCTCGGTGATGAATTTTAAAGGTTATTTTTCTAATCTTTAGTGACCAAGCGCACGTGGTGCAAAGGTGCAAAACAAGTTGGTGTTCTTTGAAGCTGCTTTCAGAGGTTCTTTTACAGTATATGTGTCGAGCTAATCAGAGGGATTTGACATTTTGAGATCGAATATATGAATTAAGGAAAAGAAAAAAATGGTTATTTTAATTTTCAAAGAAGTTAGGGCACGGACTGGTCTAAATAACAGCTCCAAGCTGTGGCATCTTGTCAGACGGTCTACCTGCAATGTTCATTAATAGCAGTGACTACTGCTGTACTGATGTTTCAGACTGACACAATACTTTACAAAGAATCAGCACCAGAAAAACAGATTGAGATTCAGGAGTTAATACTGTTTTAAGCCTTGGAAAGAACCTCAATAATTTCTTCCTTCAAAATGAAATTCAAAAATCATTATGGCATTACTAATATTGTAATGTTTCCACTTAGCTCACACATAGATACCGTCTGTATATTTTCTTCCAAGTGATTTGGGAAATAAGACAAATCCAAAGTGTTCTGATGCCTGATGAGATGGATGGCATTCCAAAATAAATGGGAAAAATGATTGACAAAGTGCCTGTTTATAAGAAAAAAGTAGCAAATAGTAACTAAATGTATCCAGCTGGAGGGTTCTGGAAATAGTTTCCATTTTGTGTCCGCTGTGCCTTTGAAATCTACCTACCAGCCATAAAATCAGAGATAGGAATAGGTTTGCTTTCCATCACTATGGCTGACTGTTGTTTTCAGTAGGAAGTTATAATTTGTAAATTCATTGTCATTTGATTTATCAGGAGTTACTGAAGTCTTCTGCCACCTGACAAGGGTTAATAAGCTGTAGTATCTGTGTTCATGATGTTAAGTTTCTTTGAATAGTGGGACAGAGGTGCTTTGTCCAGTATAATTTACAGCACAGGGAAGTGTGCCTTGATGCTTTTCTGTTACAGTAGAACTAGTGCTACCCATTACAAATGTTTCTCTTCTACTATTGTGTCATCATTACCTTAACTCCTTGGGGAACTTCCCTGTTCCAAAGGAAAAAAATTCCAATGATCATTCCAGTAATATCCTTTTTCTGTGATGACTTTTTTTTTATTATTATTTCGTTTCCATGTCTCTCTCTAATGAAATGGAAATTCTAGCTCTGCCTTCACAGTACACCATCTCCTTTTAGCAAGTCCTAGTTTTAAGTAGCCTGACTGTGTGGTGTTTTGGTTGCGTGAGAAACCTCATCTTTGCTACATCGTCACTACAGGAGTGGGTACAGTCTCCACTCAGCAAAAGGTGCACACGAAATAGTGGTCCTGAGGGCATGCATTTCTTAAAAGAAGGAAACTCAAAATGATGCTGTGAGATCTTGACCAAGGTATTTGCCTCACATCTCCTCCTCAAATTCCTTCCGTCTGCCTCTGTGTGACGGATTCATGTGAAATTCCAGATCTGCCAACAGCTGAGGAACTTTGCTGTGTAGCTGCAATAAATATGCACCGTATTTAGTTTTAGCCTCCTAATTTTGAAGGCTAAAATGAGATTCCAGAGAAGTACTAATTTCAAGGTATTTACTGTTTTCTTGCTCTTTTTCCTCTGGGCTGGAGCCATAGTTTATGCCTGATTGCCAGCATCTCGTTTCAGTAGACCAGCTGGTCTACTGGTCTGCAGAACCAGGCTGGTTCTGCTAGGGTCTCTGAAATGGGCTGTGCATCTTTAGGGAGAATGAAGAAGCTATGGGACATGAAGAACCTATTTGATGCCTTCCTGTTGCAATAAGTTCACTGGGGGCCTGAATGGACCTGACTTCCACTGTGCAAAGTGTTGAACAGTAAGGAGCATCATTGTTTTGGAGTGGCTTACCATGTAGAGATACAAAATGGGTAGAAAGAAGACCTAAAGAGCACCCGAAGCGTGCTAGGAGTCCATGTAGGTTTTATTTGGAGCAAACCCCCTGCCTGGGAGCCTGGCCATTCTGAAGGGAATACAGTGAGACCCCACGTGGAGCAGATGGGTCTCACATCACTGATAATGGTGGCAATATTTGCTACTCGAAGTTGGGACCAAAAGGCTTTATTTATTTAACCATCTGTTTGCAATGGATTCTCACCATCTTTTTCTTGTATCCACAGATTACTTTTCTATCCATATGCCACATTTTGCTGTTCTAACAACTTCTCAAAGGACTGCTATTTTTAGACCTGTAATAATGGATGTATGCGTGACTCCTCAGCTAGCAAGCAGCTTGTTAACTCCAATTCATGCCTGGTTCTTGCATTTCTTAGGTTTCAAGTCAGCTATACATTTTAAGGTACAATATCTGGGATAAAGCAGAAGCAGATATATAAAACCAAAGGGGAGGTCAAGAACTTCTCATTTATGTTATATTCTTTTCCTTTTTTGCTGAGCTGGACTTACTGGAAATGCATTGTACTGTTGCACTGCTCAGATGGTGTGATGTCCAGTAATCCCCTACAAGTGGCTGAAGTCAGAAGTAAAATGAATAAACAGGAGGCCACTGGATTAGTTTTACAGGAGGCAAGTCAGTGTGCTGAAGTTATCAGGAGGTTTCCCACTTCCTGGCACATTCCCTCTGTTGAGCTGTGGTCTTCTGCAGTAATGAATACACTAATTACCTAAAATAATTTAGTCAGCTTAGTGCGGTGATGCTTACACAGAGCTCTTCAGTGAAATAATCGTGTAGATTAGGTGGTGTGGGGGAGCGTTTGCCCTAGTCATCCATAGGCATCTGACAGATTAGATGGTTAAGTTATCCAGGTAAATTCCCTGAGCTCCCAGCTGTGTGTAGATGGAGTGAGGCAGATAATTCAGTAGCTAAGTGCAGGAACCTGACCTTAGGTAATATGAGGAGATCTCTCAGCATGCGTATCTCTTACAATAAACAAGGGAGAGTTCTGCCTGTGATAGTATCCTTGTCCCCGTGGGGTTATCTATAAGATAATTATGTTTTTTTAATTTTCCAGGTATTTTTGAGGGAATATGCTTTCCTTGGTCCTTTTTGATGGCAACTTAATAGAACCAGCTGAAGTACTAGTCAAGAAGAGCAGCCATTAGAAATAGTTGTTGTCTTTCAGAAGTAGCTAAAAACAGCTAGAAGCACGTGCCTTCACTGACTAGGGAAGAGGTGAAAGAACACTGATTTGAAGCAGTGGAAGGTCAAAACAGTGTTAAAAATCTAGAGGAGTAATGAAGAAATGTAACATTTCCTGAATACTAGAATTGTTTCTTGTCCATGTCTGTTATAAAACACAAATTTAAGCTTAGGGAATAGGTTGATCATCAAAATTACAAAGGTTCAAAATAGTTCTGTGCTATACAAGAGGTTTTTTTGCACCTTCCAAAGCCATTGGTATCCTCTGCAAGAGGCAATGCAGACCATTGCATGGATGGCTGATCTGATCTGTCAAGCATCTTCTCTTGCCTATATTTTTCTTTAAAAACACAGGGGTTTCCCTCAGCTTCTCCAGTTTTACTGATGAGCTTTTTGTCATGCTTTCAGTGCAAAGTCAAGCCAAGTTTGTGGTCAAGGGTACATACCAGAGGAGAGAATTAAACCACCACAATGTCCTGTGCGTGCTCTTACGAGGGGAGAATTAAACCACCACAATGTCCTGTGCGTGCTCTTACCTAGCACTTAAAAATTCTCCTGTAGTTTGTTCTTAAGATGCCAGTCCCAGAAAACTCTGCCTGTTAAATCCACTGCAGCTAGGAAAAGGAGATTCTTTCCCATCAATAGAAAAACCATTATTTTTTTAGGGACCCTCGAAATACTTGTTGTGAGACATTTTCATGCTGTTTCTAAAAACCTTTGTTGAACTATTTCTGTGATAACAGAACAATATACAGACAGAGGCTGGTGGAGGTGTAATGATAAAAGGTCTCATCCAGTTCATATGGAATCCTTGAGGTATTTTATTAGTGTGAGAGGGTTTCCACCTCTGACGTGTGAGGTTTCAGAAACTTTATTCATATCTACTCCTCAGCAGAGTGTTACAGCTTATTAACAATTAATTCAATAGTAATCAGTTATCAGTATAAGGACTCTTAAGTGTTTAGACCTGTGATCTGGAATGCATTGCACAATTACAGTAAGCCCTTCAGAGAAGTTAACGGGACAACGTACACTTATAAGAGACTACAGAAAACAGCTGTGTTTCCTTTTCCACAGGTTGGAAAACAGGCAGACTAGAGGACATTGGCTCAGGGGTGGGAATATCTTCCCCTGAGTTAAACTGCTATGCGTTCTCGTTGAATATGGTATGATTTTAATATTCTACAGAAAACTGTATTAAAGGGAGGGGAAGGGAGAAATCTGGAAAGGCACAGCAGCAATTTCTTCTTTTTATTTCATTAGCTTGCGTAGCTGTGCCAGCACACGTTCTAGCCAATCTTTGTTAAAATAAAAAATAATGCTATCATTTGCAGGCAGGTTTCCATATGAACAGAAACAAAGACTCAGTAGCACAAAGCTTCATCTCATAAAGAAACCTCTTCAAATATTCTGGTAGGTTATGAGAATTATACTTCTTTTTTTTACTATTCCTATTTTCTGAAAAGCTTTATAAATGCACCTAATTCAGGAAAATTTTATTTGAAAAGGTGAACTATACTTAAAAAAAAAAGTAGTTGGATTTGCAGCAACTTTGATGCATGACTTGTTAGATCAAACCAAGCCAGTTACCTTTGAAATACAATGAGAAAATATGTTCTAGTGTAAGTTCATATTGTGTGTGTCATTTCATAACTTTGCATGAAACGGGCTGGGCTTTGCTTCTGATTGAAGCCTGAAGTTGTTGTTTTAAGAGATAGGCTCTTTGTAACCTTTCAGGAAATGCTGACCTGACTGCGGGCTGTGCTTCTCCTCTCTAACAAAAGGAGGGGAAGAAAAGATAGCTTTTACTGGCAAGGGAAACTGGCTTTACTTATGTCATCAATCAGCCCCGTGTTAGAGAACCAGGATGTCTCTTGTGTAACCTGTTAACATTTAGCACATTTCTAGCTGAATGGTTGGTATTTAAGAGCTATTGACAACTATGCAATAACTGCAATTAAAATCTCCATAATAGACTGCAGTTTTAATCCCTGGTACCAATAGAGTTTTATGACCAAAAAAACCCTTAAATTATCTTTGTGGCTGGCAGAGTACTTATTTGAATTGAGATATTTCAAAAAGAAATTGAAAGCATAGATCCCATTTTCAATATGATTTGAGGAAGGAACTGTGAGTTACTGTCTTATTATCACTTGAAAATGTGGCTTGGTTTACTTAACTAAAGGATATAGAAATGTGATAACATTGTCGATAAAATAAAAAAAATACTTCTATCTTACAGTTATTTGACCAAAAGTGATGTTTTCTCTGGGCCTGTGTGCATTCCGGCATTTTTAAAGAAACCCACAAAACCCGATATGAAGTAGAAAGTCAAAGCACTGTGATTTATTTGGCTAAAACACAGTATACATTCTTAACCTATTGAAATATTTTATTTAGAAATAAAGCCATGTAAGTGATAGAGAAGCACGCAAAGATAAACTTCTTAATTCTGCTGAATGGACCTCAGTAAAACTTTGTAGATAGCTGTGTTTTACAAGATAGTTCTTTACTTTTTGGTTGTCTACAGGTTTTTTTCCAATTACTTTTTCAAAGAAGAATGTAATGGTCAAGTACATAGACTCTATAATATTAAATATAGAAAATATTGAAAATATAGAAAAAAATAGAAAATATTAAGTATAGAAATATCCTTTCTTTTTCCCCTTTCTCTGGAGCTTTTCTGCGGAGACTTTGCTATGATTTATGTTTTCAAGTTCCCCTAATAAAGAATTGGCTACTTTAATGATGAAGGTGAAGTCCGTGGGATTCAAATATTATGTGACCCTCGAATGAAAAATTGAAAAAGAGATTTGGAAACTTTCTCTAGAAAGAGAAAAAAATGTTTTACTGAAACAGCTAAAAAAGCTTGGGCTTTTCAAAGAATTGCTAGGGGACTCTTTCCTGATATATCAAGGAAATACCAGGCCTTTGACCAAAACCACATACCAAAACAGTGGTGATGAACGAAATGGGACTTTGGGGCACGTGTCGTTTCATCGTAAGCGCTAACCTAGGGGAGGAAGGAAATGGAGACTGAGCGGGGGGACTGGCCTCTTCCTGTCCATCAGGACTGACCAGACTGATAGGGAAATGCAGATCAGCACAGCTTGGGGCTTGGTATGTGAGCTATTAATGAAAGAGCTGTTAATGCTGCATGTTTTGGAGATGTGTGTGGGGCTCGGGTGACCTGTCTCAACACTGTACCAGGTTACAGTTATTTTCTGGCTTCCTGGTTATTAGTTTGTAGTCTGAAACTTGATTTTCTTTTGTAATGTAAACCATAGCTGAACAGTAGTCTTGGTCAGCAATATTAGCCCCTATCCTGATAATTGTTACTCAGCCTAGAAAACATATCAAACACTTTACACCTTGTCCACCAAAATGTTTTTTTTTTCCCTTGTCTTAATTATTTTATTTGAAGCACTGTCTTGATACCACACTACCCAGCGAATCTCATTTGAAGTAGAGGCAGCACAAAATTTAGGGCTCTGCATTACCATGAGAATATAGCATTAGATTTGTGGGAGCCAGATGTCTTTCCTCAGTTCCCACATGCTGGACTCAGGAGGGAGGAAACCTTTGCTGCTGTCAACTCTGCTGGAGTTAATGAAGTTCAAGTCCACCATCTAGCTTGGTACGGGGGATTCTAGCTCTACCAGGGGGTTTCTGGCAAAGAGAAGACAACGGAATCTCCAGGTGTTCAGACACCTTAAAATTATATTGCTACCTTAGAAGAACTTTGATAGGGTAGGGACCTTAAGTCACTGTTATTGTACTTTATCACCTAACAGCTTTTCTCAAAGCAGTGGACTTTCATTGCACTTTGCAGGTGTGACCGAAAGGCTGGTCTGATGGCAGCTGAACCTATGAGCGCTTACACAGCCCTGAGTAAGCAGTCCTAGGTAAATATTGTGACACGCACAAACTGCTTTCTGCTCCACAGCTCAGCCTAGCTAGGTTTTCCTGTTTCTGAACACAACTTAGTTGCGCATGTTTGCACACTTTTATCAACGGATAAATGACTCTTCTGCTTAATTAGATATGTGCTAAACTTTTCACTGATTCATGACCTATGTCACAGGTCTATGCACATGCACTGGGCTCCAGATTTCATTGAAAGTCTGGCTGTGGTACTGTGTGATGTACATCTGGCAGAATCCTTAGGGCTCCTGGCGTAGAGTGGCATTAGTGTATAGTTTGTACAAAAAATATTTTAGGTAGGAATCATATGACACAGTCATGAAGAGATGGGTCTAAACTCACAAGCATTCATAGTGTGTCCCTACGTAGGTGTAGATCTCTTCAGCTGCTTCAGCCTTGCTGCTGCTGACCTGAGCTACTTTTGTAAGGCTATGGTGATCTTTGCTCTTCAAAGGAATGACTGTTCGTTCTTGTGGTGGCAGTGAGTTTTCTTTTGCTTGTGTAAATCACTGAGTGTGTGTGTTCAGCCATTTCAAAGTGAAGTAACAGCATTTTTTCCAGGTCCAGACTTTAATGGATAAGCAAAATTTATCCCATCGTTTGTTTTAATCAGGAAATACTAAAGGATTTTGTGTTCTATCCATTTTATTATGCTGACTCTCTGAGTTGTTTCAGAAGCTGGTGTAGCTTGGTGCTATGTTAAAACAGTTAGTCTTTCTGGAAGCCCTCTATATGCAGAGCAGTTGATGAATGAGATCTTAAAATGAAGTAAATTAGGGTAGTATCTTTTAACTGTTCTGTGGCTGTGGCTTGTCCTTGTTTTGTTGGGTAGTTTCCTAGGAAAAGGAACCATTCTCAGTTAGCATGCTCTTCTCTTTGATGTTGTATAGGGCTGTTTCAATGTCATGTGACTGGAGTAAAATGCTCCTCTTTGACACATCTACAAAACTGAGATGGCACTTACCTAAATAAAATTAAATTGGAGGTCATACTCAGAAGGTCCAACTAAGTTGGACATCTCAGCAATCCAGCCCAATCATTCATTTTTAGGACTAGCAACTATGATAGTTTGTTAATTTGCTTTTAAAAGACCAGGCTGAGCTCCAGGTCAATTCAAATGCATATTTTTCATTTCCATTTTAGCAAAGTTCAAAACGCTTTTGGAGCAACTGAATTCTTAAAACTTCAGGTCAGGGCTTGCTAATGAGAAATGGACCTTTAGAGAAAAGCATTGTCATTTCTTTCCCATGCTGGCATGGAGTCGGCCTGTGTGAGTCACGGCATCTTCGAAACAGCGGTGTGCGCTTGTCATCTCTTCTCTGCCTTCTCTTTTTGGAGCTTGACAGGGCTTGTGCCTGTCCCATTGCCTGCTGGAGGATAAATAGAGTGGTGGAAACTTCCAGGGAAGTCACGTAAAGGCTTTTGGAAGTATCCTGTAGTACGACCCCCAACTAGCAATTGTACTGTGGAAGTGTGAGTTTATATACCTACAAATCAGTGGGTTTAGCAGGGAGGGGTAGTGTGTTGCGGTTGTAAGGTGGAAAGCTGAGTCTCATACAAAAAATAACATTCCTAATAGAGACTCCTGCAATTGCTGGTTATTGATCTGTGGAAAACATCCAAGGCTTTCACAGATAACATTGTTCTAAGGAGAGAAGGCAGTTCTGGGAGTGTTGTTGCAGTTACTTAAAGTAATAGTGGTTTTTTTTTATAATATACAAAGATACTACTGGTATGTGGAGATAATTTTAGATGTTACATTGGTTCTTTTCAGATGTAGTTAGAACTTAATTGATATTTAACTTTTTGGGGTTTTTTACTTTAAAGGTGGTTTGATTTACAGTGGAGAGTGGAAAGCAATGATGCTTTCACTCTTGTGTCATCACATTGATACCACCCACACAAGGATGTGTATGCCCTGGGAGGGCAACGGGACCCCAATACTCCTTTTGAGTGTTTTGTTAGTTTTTTAAATAGAAATAATGATACTGTAAAGGTAATAATACTGGATTTCTGCTGTAATAGAAATAATAATTACAGTAAAAGTTGAAACAACTCTGGCATGTTTATTGCATGTAACAGCAGAAGGCTTTCAACCTTTCTGTTCTGGACTGTCTTTGGGAAAGTCACTTTTCATGAGCACTGAGACCAGGTGTAAGTGGATGGTCTGAAGAAAGTACTCATGGGCTTCAGAACTCAGCTGAAGTGGTGTGGCAAACAGCGCTGTTAAGTAAAGTTACTGATTTACCTTGATAAGAGGGAACCAATTAAATTAGCAGCACTGGGGTCCAGAGTACTACTGAAGGGAAAAGTTACAACTTCTGCATTGGTTTCATAACTTTCAGAGTGAGAAGCCTGTAGCAGTATCTTGAATGTAAAACCAGCCACTTCTCAGTTCTCCTACAACAAGAAAACATAGTATTTCCAGGAACATTAATGCTTTTGAGGGTTTCTTGTTTTGTTTAAGACTGCTTCTAATAGTTCTTGTTACCTATTTGCAAGATGGCCAGATTGTAATTGTCAGTTATACAGGGCAACAGTGTAATTGTGGGCACAGTTACATACTGAGACTTTTCTCTTTGAGAGTACATGTAGCAGTGCAAGTAAGATTTTCTATTGAAGATGACTCTGGAATCAAAGATTAGGAAATAAAGATTTTTACGGTAAGTTGTCTACTGTCTTCAAGGATTGGCATTAAGCATTTTGATTCTGGGCACTATTTCTCAACAATCCTTTATTTCTGTTTCAAGTGCACTATCAATTGCAAACCAGATGTTAGCATTTTAAGTGGTTTGTTTGGGATGTGTGTCAACCCAAGAGGGAGAAGTGGTGTGGTTTTTAACAAGGGACAATACAGAAAGGCTGTGAAGGTACACTCAGTCACTTTATCAGATAGGCTCTTTTCTTTAGTCAGCCTTTTGTTTAATTCAGCCCTGGGCAGATGAACTGGGCTGAGAAGTAGTTGAGAAATCATGATTTGGCACTAAGGAGGAATAATTTATTTTTGCATTCCCCCCGCATGCATCTTAAACACTTGTCTGAGGCTAGATTTTAATCCCTGTGATATGGCCCATTCTGCTGAGTGGCTTGAATTTCAGTCAGGGGGTTAAGGGGACAAAATCTTGATACTGACATTTAAAGCAGACTAATTTGTCTGCAGTGCTATGCACAGTCCTTGTAATTAAAAAGTTCAAGGCAAATGCCAAGTGGCTGCAGAATGTCTTTTTTTTTTTTTTTTCTCCTTTTTTTTTTTTTTTTTTTTTAAGCGCTTGTCTTTGGGGGAAAACCTTT